TTCTTTGATGAGCTTGTCTCCGTCCAACCATTATTCCACTACCGCCATTATATATATATCATATATATATATATATATATATATATATATATATATATGATATGTATATAATGGCGGTAGTGGAATAATGGTTGGACGGAGACAAGCTCATCAAAGAACATCTGTTTGAATTTGTTCAATTTGATATTAGATGTTTTCGAACTTCAAGGCAGTTGTAGGCCTTCGTGGATGAACGGAAATTTCTTGCCTTGGAATGATTCCTCATGACGTGGGCTAATTCTGCGAATCGAGTGGCCCCTCAGAACCATATATTTTTAGCTGATTCCTAAGAGCTTAGTAGGAGTGTGTTATTTTTATTTTTTCTTACATATGACCTGTTATCACATCTACTGTGCGGTAAAGCACTTCTTGCATTCGTTTCGATTTATTCGCATTCATCGTCCACAAAGGTCTACGAAAACCTCGCCTGTTGCATAAGCTGTCGTTTGAGGGTCTCGCCTTCATCACGAATGTAGAATGTTGGTAGGGTCGACTATTCTCACAATCTTGAAGATAGCTGAGCTAAAGCGTTCCCACGTGGAATGGAGGAAGACGTTGGGAGGTGGTCGAACCAGAACCTTGCTTCTTGATGTAGTGCATCACTAACCACTTCTCTAAAAATGAAAAGCTTGATAGGAACAGCATGTTTATTGAGGGCATTCAATTTTTCATATATTCATTTATAAGAGGAGTACTTTTTGCTAAAATATATTGAATTGAGTAGTAATAGTTTTTCCTCTAGAGTGGCAAGGTCAACTATTATTTGCTGTCTGCTACTTTTTATTTTTCATAGCAGGGTATTCAGTGGATTGCAACCACAATAATGCTGAGATGTGACCAAAATTGGAAGCCCAGGTGAGCTTCAAAGGTTGAGAAAAAGACAAAGGAAGAGTATCGGTGGTGTGCTGAATAACACGTAAGTCCCACAAAAAGTAATTACGGTATGGAAGTTCGCCTTGGTTCCGAGTTTTGCTCATATCTCAGCATCTTAGTGGTTGTATTTGACAAAGACTGTTTTGCTACCGTCTTCCAAGGTCACCCCACTTGCTAGCTAGTTCCTAACAAGACCACATTATATTTATATGATCTTGTAAACTGATCTTCTTTAGCTGATGCGAGGTTAGTATAGGTCTTCATTGTCGTTGTTGCTGTTGGTGTTGTTGGTCGATGGCTGACGTTTCGGCGATTTCGCCTTCCTCAGAGCCTGAACGTACTTTATATAAGAATACTTTAATTATTCGGTGAAAAAAGCTAAAGCACTAATGAAGATCGAACTTTTAAATAGACGCCATGTTGATCAGAAAGGTCACTCACCGGGATGGTACGAGTGGGGCTGGCCCAGGAGAGTAACTTGACATATAGATTTAACGGATACTGTAATTACGAATATTCTATTATTCTGTCCTTATTCCTTGAGCAAGGAAAACAAGCATCCGCCGGAAAACCCATTAGTATTTCTTTAATGGAATCAACGGTAAACTCGACAAATTCGATGAATTGGCATTTCGGTAAAATAACTTTTTTCCGCTCAAAATGTCATTCATGAGTTGTTGATTACCAGTGCTAATGAACTTTATGCTTTTGAAAGTAAGAGACATGAAAATTGCTTGCATTAAAGTAAAGGTATTCAATTGGAAATGCCGCCCGTTACAGGCACAATTTGGCTCTTCATAAAAGGCGAGTTACTGAACCCGAAATATACTAGTCTTGTTAATAGTATCAAGTATAACAGCGTAGGTACCGTTTAATATGTGTATGGTTGTTGGTTCCACGCTGTAGAGGACAAACTGAGTTCTCTATGCCTCTATGGTAAATGTCAAACAAGTCTGGAGAAGCCCTACTATGATCCACAATGCTCGACTACTGTCTGTAATATTAGCCTGTGAACGTTCTATTAAAAGTAATCCTAGGGTTCAAGCGAAGATACGCATTACGTGTTCGGCCCACCTTCGACTGTTAACGGCATCTTTGGTTTTGATCGTTGACGCAGGTCGGGGCTTCAGATCCCTTCCCTCACTTGCGTGCCACGGGATATTCCTAGCATCGTCCTTTCAACTGCGCGTTCAATAACGCTGAGTGATTTCTCATCCTGCTTACGCAGCGATCCGACGCATTTTGACGCATTTGTTAACGGAGGAAGTACCGTTGAGTCGAAAAGGTGGGGACGGAGTCGAGTGTTCATTACTCTCTTCACTACATCCTCGATGCTCTTGAAAGCTCGCCAAGCCGCTCGTTTCCTTCTGCTCAACTCTGGAGCTAAGTCGTTCATCATATTGAGTTCCCGAACTAGATAGACGTAACTGGAGCATTCGGAGATATTAGTTCGGTTTAGCGCGAATGGGACATACAAAGCCAATCCGTTCTTCATGGACATCATTTTTGTGAGATTTAGTCGAAGGCCAATCTTTCCACAGGCTTTATCAACATCGTTAAGCATTAGTTTCGTTTGGCTAATATTTGGTGTTATAAGGACGATGTCCTCAGCAAAGCTAATATGGTGTAACTGCCGACCATCGATTTTCACTCCCATATTATCCCATTCCAATGTTCTCATGACGTTCTGGAGAGTGGCGATAAATAGTTTTGGCGAGATGGTACCGCCTTGCCTAACTCCTCTTTTGACGTCAATGTTAATACCGTTGTAGAATGGTGACACCTTGGTTTAGCAATTTTTGTACAGCTCACGAAGAATCTTTATGTACTGAGCAGGGACTTCCTGATTGTCTAGGCCCTCCAAGACTGCTTCTATCTCAATTGAGTCAAAGACCTTCTTTGAATCAGTGAAAGTGAGACAGAGCGGTCTTTTGCACTCTCGCAATACTTCAATGAGTCTTGCTATAGTGTGGATGTGGTCCGTTGTACTAAATCCTTTTCGAAACCCTGCCTGCTTGCTCACATGGCTGCTCTTCATCTAGTGCTCTGTCATTCCTGTTTAGGATGAATTGAGTGAAGAGCTTGTAGGCGACAGACAGCAAGCAGATTGTGCGATGGTTGCCGTTATCGTCTAGGTCACCCTTTTTAGAACATTAACACTGTCTTCCTGGTCTTCCATGGAGTAGAGACCTTTCATTCAGACAGATAACGTGTGAAGAGCCGAGTCAGTGTTATCACGAGGACTGGCGTAAGGTTTTGAGATGTTCAGATCTTATTCTGTCAGGGGCTAGAGCTGCTCGATTTTTCATCGACGAAATGGCATGTCGGATTTCGGCAGAGAGAACCGATAGTGCGACATATCCATCCTCTTTTATTTCTTGTGAGGAAAGAAGGACGTGGCTATTAAAGAGATCTGAGTAGTATTCGTGAATAGGCTCCTCTATTGCCTTTCTGGACGCTGTAACTGTTCCGTCTGGGCGTCGGATTGCGCTGGCGTATCAGCTCGAGAGTTTCTGAAGACAGACGTCTCTTGGTGACTTTCGTACTCTGGCTTTCATAGCGCTAGCGCGAAGATGTTGAATGAGCCGATCATATTCCTCGTCGACGTTATCGACAGCGGCATCATCCCAACAGCCTCGTTTTTTGAATTTAGCGGCTTTTTCTCCTTTTCGCGAAAAATAGAATCTTGCACGAAGGAGGCGGTGGTCTGATGCTGTGTAGAATTTTGGGACAACAGAGACATTGGTTAGACAAAACCTTCTGTTTATTATGATGTGGTCTATTTCTTTATGGTACTCTCCACTGGGAGATTACCACTTCTAGTGTTGAGGGTGAGGCTTCTGGAATTGCGAGTTACCATGGATGGTCTTGTTCGCCATGATAAACTCAGAAAGCCGCTCACCCTGTTTGTTCCATTCTAATTAATGGGTCCCAATGTGACGTTCTTCAGGCGTTCTTCTTGGTCCAATATTGGCGTTGAAATCTCCAAAGTTGACGTTGAAGATTATATGGTCTTCTCTGTAAAACTTCTTCAAGGCCATATTAGAACGCTTCGATTTCCTCTTCGTCGTAGTTTGATGATGGCGCGTAAATGGCGAAGATTGTTAAAGATGGTATTGTTCGACATATTTTTAATCGCAAACGTCCGATTCAGCTTGTAAGTTCGAATGGATCGATGTCCACTTACAAACTCGTGCTGACGTGAGCGCCGACGCCGCCGACTCCTCTACTATCGCAAGTTCGCAGAAACAGTTCTTCGGTGTCATAGACGGCGTTGAATGAGTGGCGTCGTCTCGTCTGGGCCAGGCCGGTGACGTCGTAGCTTATCTTTCTCCCTTGCATGATCAAGTCTTCCATCGAGGACT